AAAAGAGTGAAAAATTGGCCATCGAAGCAAAAAATCTAAAATATTTTTTGCCTAATATTTAACAGTGGACATAAGGAATATGTGCTTCAAAAAACATCGCAGTAACAATATGTATGAAGAAAAACGATTTATATACAGTGGAACCTGTCTAAATTGACCACCCTCGGGACCAAGTCAAATGGTCACTATATAGAGGTGGTCACTTTATGAAGAGTCTTTAAAAAGGACTCTTTAAATAAAACTTGCAGAAAATGGTCACCTTACTCAGATTCTCACTTTACCCAGGTGGTCACTTTTACAGGTTCCACTGTATTTCGAATTTGATTTTCTCGTACGTTTGAAAACATCTGAAAATCTCCACTAGTATATAAATGTTATTTATTATATTATATAAAAATATATGGCCCATTTACTAGTTTCATATTATCCACTGTCATGTAAAAAAAAAAAAAGTCATACATGTTAATTTTATAAAAGTTTGTTAAAATTATATAGCTGAAAGGAAGAAGTGGACCAACGGTGCTCCCACAGCAAGGTCAAATTGTACAGAGAATGAAAGTACATCCCTGCCTTGAGCCTTGTCCGGGATTTTTTTGATGCGAGGACAGCTCTTATAGCAGTATATATATGTATAAAAAATAACTTCAAGGTGATCTCTACACCCTTTAGATAACACATTTTTTTCGTCGCTAATCGCAGCAGCGATATTTCGCTACGCCTTAAAGAAAAAATATATATTTATCGCCTTTATAGAAAAACAATTTTTGATTTTGTGAAATTTATTCTCTTCTGCTATACATAGACAAACAAAATCATGGTTATTTAATCTCTTCAAAAAATATATTATAAGAATCAATAAAAGTTATGCTTCCTAATTCTCAAAACACTTGCAGATCTTTCGCAATATTTGAAATAGCTCTAATTAATTTACACCTTCATGATAGATATATAATTAGTATAGATATATATAAAAGAGTTCATTTTGGTTAAAATATATAAACTTAAATGGAATTATATCCTTATACAGATATATTACTATAAGTCATTTGATAAAATTGTGCAACCCTACATAGCAAAAAGTGTTTCATTGTAGAATGGAACACTTTTTGCTATACCCCTGTAACCAATAACATAAAGTTAACGTTTTTTTCTTCTCTCCTTAGAATGATACATAATTATTTTATCTTCTCAAGCTGTTAAAATCAAGTTCAATAATACGCAGAAAAAATAATATTTTAATATATTTTTTAACATTAGTTAAATTCTATTTGCCTGCTTTTTTTAAATATATCTTTTACAGAAATAAAATTGTTCAAAATGCATTCATCGTTTAAAATTTTAAAAAGAGCAAAGCGAAGATGAAATTAAATATTTAGTGTCAGATAAGGCTGTTTCCTCCTTGTCTGGGGTCTCCTGTAGAAAAGATATATATATATAAAAAAAAATTACCCATTTTTATTCTTTCTCTAAAGCAATTAATAAGGAAGTGCAGAGTAGAAAAAAAAGTAAAGACCTAGGTGAAAGAAAAAAATATTGACTAAAGAAAAAAACAAAACATGTCTGACACATTGCAACAGAAGTGTGTGAACCATCTTAAATTTCAATCATGTAAAATATACATAATTTATTTTAATTGTTATAGTATATTAGTCCTAAAATATTTGCCTATGATACATGACAATTTCATATTTAACTGAAAACAAAATATTAAAATATATTAAAACTTCCATTGCTTCTTTCTTTAATACACTATGACTCTTTATAAAAATTTGCCAAATTTCCCTAAAATAATTCTTTTACAATCCTAAGACTTTTTAAATTAAGAATGTACCAGGTGTTTTATACTCACTGTTTTTCGTCCTTGCTAAAGTTGTAGCAAATAACAGATTTTATAAAACAATGATAAGAGATTATAAAACAGAAACACCATAGAAATGTATGGAATAAGGCACTACTAAGAATAGCTAAAACCAGTTTGATTGCCTATGAAAGTTTGAGGTTTGCTGCAGTTTCTCCACTAATGACAATTATTCTAAAATGTATATTAAGGGTGGTGGTAACGTAACACTCTGTACACCCAAAAAATATGTGAAGCTCTCTGTCATACCTGCCAACATTTCTTAGGCTACGAGTAAAGTTTTGATACATCATACATAATCATTTAAGTCAAAAAGAGAAATTCAAAATTGGAAATATAAGGACTTACATTTTAAAGACATTACATAGTGAATTAAAAAATATGTATATAAATCTTAAACAAAAGATTTTTAAATCATTATTTATAATTACTTAAAGTATTTTATATTTCACAACCGTCATTGAACAGCCCACCCATTTTTTTGGTTTACGACTACTAATGTTCAATTCCGTAACCTTGTAATTTTGAACCCAATCCAGAAGATAGGGGAACTCTTGAATCAAATATTGGGAGAAACTTCCCTTTGTGGAAGACTTTTTGATGCAACTAATCCAGAGAGGAAAACCCCCATGAATAGCCTGATGGCAAGGGGACTATAACCCATGATCCATTCAACACTGAGGATATTTCATGTCAGCCGAATTCATATCGACCAGCCATTGCTGGGATTCGAACCCGGGTCACCTTATTGGAAGGCGAACGCTCTATCCCACGGCTCCTACTTGAACTATTAACCCTCAACATGCTGCAGTACTAGTAATAGCACTATTTGTTTAGGAATAGTAAGTATTTTTGCCATCAGCAGATATTTTATAGCCAAATTTGCTTTAAATATTTCTTCAATAAATACGGAGAAATTTGAGAATATAGGGGTAAACAGGAGATAGTCATAAAATACAGGAGTCTCTGTTAAAAAAACAGGAGACTTGGCAGGTATGCTGAACAAGAATATTAAAAGTTGCAANCTTCAATGGTCTATCTGCAGAGCACAGGGCGCTTCACTCAAAAAGATTGTGCATCTCTACTTAGAAGTCTTTCACATTTATTTCCCACATTAGAAATTTCATAAGGATGCTTTTTAATAATTGACAATCAACAATATTTTACAGTTATTTCTCTTTAACGAGTACATCCATATCATGAAAATATTAACTATAATATTCCTAAGTTCATAATATCATAAATATAAAACTAAAAGAAAAACTTTTAAACTTGCCAAATAAATCTGTAAAGAATATAAATCTGAACTAGCAACAAAACTGAATTACAAATTGATTATGAAAGATTACTTCTCAAAATAACAAGATATGATATATTAACAGGATTGTTAAACAAAATTTCAAAATAAATTTGTGGTCTTTTTGTCGAATGAGGTACAGTTGTGTATATTTTAAAAGTGAAATGATTCTTATTATTTGAAAGTAAATAATCAAAACATTAAGATCTCAACATCTTGCAAACGAAATTAAAATTTATTAACATATAACAAACTTTGTCTCACTTTTCTGATTTTCTATGAAATATAATTTCAGGATATCTTTTTCTAAATTTTAAATAACAGATCAGAATGAACCAGACTGAAATATTAGCTCCCCATTATTTTTAATAAAAATATAAGAAATTTTTAAAATGTTAACAACTGTAGTAGATGAATGTAGTTAGTCAATATTGTAATTTATTTTGCTTCAATATGCCTTCAAAATAAATAAAAATCATTTATACAAGTAAGTATTTTTATAACAAGAAATTAAAATGCCTATACATTACGATTAAATGTAACTACTCTGAATTGAAATTCAATTCACTGCTAATAACTTGTTGAAACAAGAAACGGCATTCAATGCCTAAAAAAGTGTGTTCTGAAGTCACACAATTATTATGTAATCAAGAAAAAAAAATTTAAATTTCAAAATATTAAAAAACACACTATTTATTTTAGCATAAGTATAGTCATGGTTGACAGATCACAGATCCCTTAGTGACATTGCATTTTAATTTTATTTCAATCACTTGAAATTTAAATAAAAAATTATTTAGATTTTTGAACATATATTTTTTCAATTCATTTACATCAGATTTCTATATACTTTAAATAAAAGGTATTTATAAAAATTGTCTGCATTTATAATTTTCCATTATACTTATGCCATTATTAATATTAAGTATCAAAACATTTCAAGCATTACAATTTCTGATTAGATGACTTTCATGTATATGTAACAGGGGTGCTTAAGTCAAAATTCCGGAAAATTTCTTGAGTTAAAGAAGAAGAAAAAAGTTTAAACTGAAAAAAATTTAAACAAGTTTTTTTTTCCTTTTTCTCAATATTTCTTAGTTTACTTAAAATACAATAGTAAGAGAAGCAATATTTAGAGAAGTAATTAAAATGTACAAATACGTCTTTCTTTCTTGAGTTTATGATTGTAACAACTATTTACTGATAAAAAAATCAATATTAATCATGAATATAAGCTTATAAAGTATCTCTCAGGCTCTCCCTTACAAACAAATAAATTAACTGTGTTTTTAAGTTCCACCTTTGAAAATTTGATTTCCAGAAACTTCTGTGATCAATGATTTTTTTAAATGTCTGGAACTTCGATCTCCGGATTTTTTCCAGACCACAATCAGCCCTGATTTAAGATCAGAGGAAAAACAGTGCTACAAATTATTTAGCCTTATAATTATAATGTAAAACCTCTGCTATAAGAAAAACCACAATAGAAATGAGCTGAAAAAATGAAAACCATCTCATCTAATCAATATCAATCTTCAACACAGAAATGTCATTAGACAGTAAATTAAAATAATTATTTAGGTACATAACAAAAGAAATTATTAATTGAAAAAAATTGTTTTTGGGAAGAAAAACTAAAAGAGCAAACCTAAAATTAATTCGAAGAAGTAAAAGTTATACCATAAGTTTAATGAATTATAAACAAATATTAATCAAGAATTACCCTGACACTTTCGAAAACTAACATAATATACATCTTAGAAATTGAGTTTCAATATACTATAATTTGCTCTTAAGATAATACATAAGTTTTAAGAATCAAAATGAAATAATATAGTTCAAAAGCGAAATGAATGATATTTTATTGAGTAATAAAATTAACAAGTATGACAGATGTAAGGAAGAAGAAACAATATCTAAATGCATATGCATATTGAAGAAAAGAAAATCGCATAAAGCAAGTATGTAATGTTTCTTGGAATTAAAACCTTCCTTCTCGTTCACGACGATCCCTATCTCGACTGCGTGACCGACGCCTTCTTTCTCTGCTGCGGGACCTCTTACGTTCTCCAGGTACAACACGAGGACTGCGAGAACGAGAGCGTGATCGAGATCTAAAAAATAAATATACAAGAATAAGTTTGTTTTAAGTCAACAATATGGTTATAAAATAAAATACATAGATAAAATATTTGAGTATTAATTATTATCATATTTGTTCTGCTTAGAGAAACATAGAATAAGTTTCCTAATCTAAGCCAATTTACCCTTTATTGGACATTTAACAGACAAATTGCTTCCACATCTTTAAAATTTTAGCACGTTCAGCAGGAACAATTGTTAAGTAACTATGATTTATTTTTTTCAGTGATTAATTCGTAACAATGAAATAATATTAGGTATTATACATATATTTTAGAAAATGATTGTGCAAGTATATATGTGGACTTTCTTAGCGTAACATCTCGGAATATTACATCACTCTCCATTATGTAATATTTTAAGAGATTTCATCACCCTTCTTGACATTGAGAGGCGCCAGCCAGTCCCGAAGGAAAACTCCCGAGTTTATAATTAACTCTTACTTTATACCATAGAACAATCTAATTCTTATTCACATGCATCCCGGAGACCACTGTGTGAAGGCAGCTCTCACGAGACATGTCAATAACGTTAACTGTTATATCCTTTTTATTTCTATTAAATTGTTATGTTTGTTAAATTATCGTCGTCATTTACTCCTATGCTGCACTAACTCCCACANAAAATAAAGATTTTTGTCAACTCTGATTAAGAATTAATGTTATTTTGGAAATAATGTAAAACAGATTCACATTCTAAGATTCTAAGAGTAAAAGCAGCTAATCAAAGGTTAAGAAAAAAAAAATTAGAACCTGCGTCTCCTTGGGCGACCATATAATTCTCGTCTTAATTCTCTTGAAATAGGTCTCAAATGCATGAAATTGCAAAATCCACTTCGAGTGCATTCACTAAAAGATAAAGTTATAAATCTTAATTAAAAATATTTCATGAATCACACTAGTACAGTATAATTATAAATGGAATATAAAATAATGATAAAAATAATTAAACAAGCAATAATTCTAACTAGAATGGTAGGTTAAGTATATCTATATTGTAATAAGTTACAAATTTTTCTAAGAATTCACTTAAAAAGAAGCAAAATAATAATAAATACAAAATAAATTTTGTATAACATTAACTCAATAAGGAATAGAAGCAGTCACTGTTTAACAAATGTAATTGTATGTTACAAATCTGCACTTTTGAAAAAAACCGAAAAAACTGTATCAATTGTGGAAAGATTGTTTAAATTGCTACTAAATTTTTGGATTCTCCTTTTTAGAAAATCACTCAAGATTTAATAATTGGAAATTAATATTCCAAAACCAACAAAAAACTTATTTTCGTAAAAATGTTACATACTCCCTTTTAACATTGACTGCTTCAATTTTTATCTACATACACCTTTATAAATAGTTCAAATGAAAATAAATCTACACACAAGAGAATAAAATTCCATTAGTTCAATCAAAGGATTGAAATCACTAAAACAAGTTTAAGTAAATATATTAAAACTATAAAAATTTTTCAAATAAAATGATTTAAATAATTAAAATAATGACTAACTTATTTTGATATTTTAAATAGTGAGAATAGCAAAATAGAATCCTTCTAAAATATTAAAATAAAGTTAGATTTTGAAGAGGGGGATTCAACATCACAAACATGCATGGACTTTTAACAGAAAAAAAGCAACATTTCTTTTTAAAGCATAGCTGCTAACATAATAGGAAAAAATCCAGTAGATTTTACGAAATATAAATTTCATGATAATTGTTTCATAATGTACTAAATATTTTACTCATAGGGAATTTTAGAGATTTTTATAATCATCAAAATAAAAAAATTGCAATATTTTCCAGCTATGATTGACATTAAACATACCTGAAATGCTGTGTATTATGTATACTCATAATTTCTAATATTAAAAAGCATTTCAATCCAAAGATAGTTAAGATTTCTTAACTAATTTAAAAAGTAAGTTCTGAATAAAAATAAACTGAACATTTTAGAACAAAAAAAATTTTTGAACTGATTTAAGGTTAAATGAGGTTTGCTTCAGTATGTATTAGTACAAATACTTATTTAAATAATTCAAGCAATAATCTGTACAAAAATTCTATTTCAATAAGGAATTTCTCAGGAAATTTTTCTCAAAGTTACGGAATTTTCGAAACTGTACAAAAACCAGGAGAATTTTAATTAAACCAGTAGACCGGGAGAAATTGGAAAAATCCCGTACCCTACTGAAAAATCCAGTCGAGTTGGAAGCTATGAGCAAAACATAAGAGTTAACTCCATTAGTGTATTTTCCCAATTTTACCCTTTAATACCATTATAAAAAATTATAATTTTTCTGAAAAATACCATATTTTATTAGTTAACATAATAAAAGTTTTGTTATTAAAAAGAAACTTAATAATAATAAAAAAAAATTCAAGCAATAATTACCCCATTTCATATTGTCGGCAACAAGCTTCACGGAAATCAGTTACGGGAGAAAGCTCAGCATATATGGGACGTCCAGCAAACCATCTCTTATTTAAGTCCTCTACAGCCTTTTCAGCATCTTCTTCTTTGCGAAACTATAATTAATAACATCAAACTTTAAGTAATATTTAATCTTACCCGAAAACTTGAAACAATTACATCTGTTAGATATTTCAAGCCTACAATGCAATTAATGCAAAGATTAACTGTAAAAGTCTAAACGTTCATCAACTAGACTTTTGCCAGTTCTGTGAATTCCAGGCGGTATCTTTGACATCTTCAAAGATTGTAAACGTTACATTTAATCACTTATCGATATTTAAGGGGGAAAAAAATACAACCCTTAAATTATGTTTTTGCTTAACAGAAATGAAAATATGATAAAAATAAGACACGTATAATATGCAGAAGCGCAATGCTCTTAATGGTAAATTTGTCACGGTTGAGAATTTTTTAAAAATATTACTAAAAAAAGAAGAAAAAAAACCCATGCTTCTCCAAAGAAAGTTAGTTTTCTTTAAATTCCCAAGGGAAACAAATTTGCGCTTTTCCCGACCAATACAAATGTGATTTAAAATTCACTCATCGCAATTCTTATTAACACGATTTAAGGTCATGCATCGAGATTCGTAATCACAATTAAAACAAATCAAATATTGCATCTATATTTTCATTAAAACATTGATAACATTCTGAGAATAATTGCTTCTTACACACCTTTTTTTGCACAAATTTCAGATAATTTAAAATTTGATCACATGTTTAAAATTTTTTTTTTTTTTTTACCAAATCTATCCACCTGATATGAATTAATATAGAGTTCAATAAAAATTAAACATTTAAAAAAAAAATCGGTGATTTTTAAACGAATTTTGCCTAAATGAGGTGGCAACGGGAGGGTTGCAACTAGTTACAAAAGTTAATCAATGAATGAAGAAACAATTTTAATTGAGATTTTGTGTTCACAGAGTTTTTCATTTTATCTAAGTCTTATGTTTTTACATAAAATAAACTATGCAAATAATTAGTTACTGAGTAATGCTTATTTTGGCAATGCTAATTTAAACCTTTCATGGTAATTTAACTCGAATTCAATTCAAAATTTCCATCCCTTTGTCCCTATACTGACTATGTCCTTTGGGTTAATCAAAATACAATGATTGTTAGAAAACCTTAAACTAATTTATGATTTTGATAAATTATGCTTAATATTTGATTTTGTTTAAAACTAAGTAGTCTTAAATTCATTTTCTTTTAAAATCTTATTTAATTATATGCTGAAAGATGTGTAGCAAATGTAAACCTTTGTTTTTATATATCTTCCTATTGTTACAACTAGGACTGGGCGATATTAGAAATTATATATCGTGATATATCGTCAGTTTTGCATCGGCTGTGGAAGACGAT